TATGAAACTTACTTGTAACTGTAAGATAGATATTTGTGTCTCCTGATCTGTAGTTGTATGAAACTTACTTGTAACTGTAAGCTAGGTATTTGTGTCTCCTGATCTGTAGTTGTATGAAACTTACTTGTAACTGTAAGATAGATATTTGTATCTCCTGATCTATAGTTGTATGAAACTTACTTGTAACTGTAAGCTAGGTATTTGTGTCTCCTGATCTGTAGTTGTATGAAATTTACTTGCAACTGTAAGATAGATATTTGTGTTTCCTGATCTGTAGTTGTATGAAACTTACTTGTAACTGTAAGATAGATACTTGTATCTCCTGATCTGTAGTTGTATGAAACTTACTTGTAACTGTAAGATAGATATTTGTGTTTCCTGATCTGTAGTTATATGAAACTTACTTGTAACTGTAAGATAGATATTTGTGTCTCCTGATCTGTAGTTGTATGAAACTTACTTGCAACTGTAAGATAGATATTTGTGTTTCCTGATCTGTAGTTGTATGAAACTTACTTGTAACTGTAAGATAGGTACTTGTGTCTCCTGATCTGTAGTTGTATGAAACTTACTTGTAACTGTAAGCTAAGTACTTGTATCTCCTGATCTGTAGTTGTATGAAACTTACTTGTATATATATATATATGTTACTCATATATTGTAAGATCTATTCTCAATTAGAGGTCTTCAGTGTTCATGTTTTATGCTGTTTGGGGGATAAAAGGCACATTACTTAGTAAATGTTTTCACAGAAAGTTATTATTATTATTATCAATGCCACTGGAGGATTTGTTATTAACAACATGTAAGCATTGTTAATGTTTAGAAAATAACCAACCAATTGTATATTTATCAATTTTTATTTCTAAACACAGTCCATCCTGGTAGCCCTATCAAAAGGTCAACTGGAACGTGACATAACTAAGGAGACAAGGAAGAAGTTTGACCACTGGTATTTACAGCAAGTGTTCAAGCATTACCAACAGGTGGCACTGCTTCAGAGTCTTGATCACTATCAACAAACAAAGATGAATCATTATGATCAGTCTTCAATGGAAGATGCTAATGGTGTCACCAATCAGAACCATTTCAAGTCTATTTTTGTCAACCATTCACAGAGAAGGACCCATATAAGAACCTCTTTGACACTGAGCTAGAATTGCCAAAGTTACAGCAGTGGTTTGCTGAGAACCAACATCCCTCAAGACACCAAATCTACCAATATGTTAAGGATCGAAACTCACTGGATTCCCGAAGAGGACGTAAACCTCTAGATATCAAGAACGTCATGTACTGGTTTAAAAATGCACGTGCTGCCTACAAGAAAGTAAAACAAAGCTATTTTGTGGCCCCAAATAGATCTCATAGTTCCAGTGAACATTACTGTGAAGCCAGCAGCCATAACAATACTAGTGACAGTTATTTCAAAAACAGCACAGGGGAAAGAAGAAAAAGAAACTGCACTTTCATTGACTCAGCGACAGAGGAACCAAGGATGGAACAATGGTTCACCCTAAACACTCACCCATCTCATAGAATAGTAGTGTGTCTTACTCATGAACTGAATGTCATGCCTTACTGCCAAAAGTTTCCAAAACTCAAACCCAAAAACATTCATTTTTGGTTCAAGAACCGTCGTGCTAAGTGCAAATGGTTGAACTTGGCAGCAGTCAAAGACTGGGGGCCAGTCATGGACAGATTATCCTCACATATGCTGTGATGACATTTGTTTGTCTTAATGATATATTTTTTATAATGACAGAAAAAGGAAAATAAGCAGCTCAAGTAAAAGTATAGCAGAATGGTTATGAAATGTAGGAAACATACCAGACCTAGAAATAAAAATAAATCACTTTATATTTACATGATAAAAGTTGAGCAGTTAAGAGTGAAACATGTGATAAAAAAAGATCAGCAATGAGAAGTTCAGGTTAAGCATTAGATTTATATAATAACAGTAGACCAAGGTTGGGGAACTCTGGTGAATTGTCAGATTTACACAATAACAGTAGACCAGAGTTGAAGATTTCAGATGAATTATCAGATTTATATAATAACAGTAGACCAAGGTTGGGGAACTTTGGTGAATTGTCAGATTTATATAATAACAGTAGACCAGGACTGAGAAGATCAAGTGAATTGTTAGATTTACATAATAACAGTAGACCAGAGCTGAGGAACTCTGGTGAATTATCCTCCTCAGTTCTGGTCTACTGTTATTATGTAAATCTAACAATTCACTTGATCTCCTCAGTCCTGGTCTACTGTTATTATGTAAATCTAACAATTCACTTGATCTCCTCAGTCCTGGTCTACTGTTATTATATAAATCTTCTGGTGAATTGTTAGATTAACATAATAACAGTAGACCAGAGCTGAGGAACTCTGGTGAATTGTCAATTTTACATGATAACAGTAGACCAGGGCTGAGGAGCTCAGGTGAATTGTCAAATTTACATAATAACAGTAGACCAGGATTGAGGAGCTCTTGCGAATTGTCAGATTTACATGATAACAGTAAACCAGGGTTGAGGAATTCTGGTGAACTGTTATATTTATATAAAAGCAGTAGATTAAGAGTGTACTGCTGAGATGAAAGGCATAAAGTTTATAGAACTAAAATAGATTACAGATGAACAGGTCAGTTGATAATGTGATAAAGACATTTTTTTAATTACTGTTGCTCAGAGTACATAGGTTTGGAAGGTGACGTAACTGGACTCTCGGCTAATCTTGCAAAATTACTAGCTTTTGTTTTTATCTCTTAAAATGACAGTTAGGCACGTAATTTGAGCTCAAATTTTTTGAGTAGAAGGAAGCATTGCTCCATTAAAGCCTGTGCGACTGCGTAACATCTTAATATAAGGATTGTGTGACATTATTATACTACTTCTTTATGCCTTGTGCTTGATGAGGGTGATTTTCTTTTATTTCACATTTGTGATTTATTGACGAGAGAGAGAGAGAGAGTCCATACATATGTCATGATGAGAGAGAAGTTCTTATTTTTAGATGCTGACGTGTTACGTACTGTAAACAAACTCTACAGTCATACATGCTATCCATGTTGTGTACTGTAAACAAACTGTACAGTTATACATCCTATCCATGTTACATACTGTAAACAAACTGTACCATCACACATCCTACTCACTTGTTACGTACTGTAAACAAACTGTACAGTTATACATCCTATCCACATTACGTACTGTAAACAAACTGTACAGTTATACATCCTATCCATGTTACATACTGTAAACAAACTGTACAGTTATACATCCTATCCATGTTACATACTGTAAACAAACTGTACAGTTATACACCCTATCCATGTTACATACTGTAAACAAACTGTACCATTGCACATCCTATCCATGTTACATACTGTAAACAAACTGTACCATCACACATCCTACTCACTTGTTATGTACTGTAAACAAACTGTACAGTTATACATCCTATCCACATTACGTACTGTAAACAAACTGTACAGTTATACATCCTATCCACATTACGTACTGTAAACAAACTGTACAGTTATACATCCTATCCACATTACGTACTGTAAACAAACTGTACAGTTATACATCCTATCCATGTTACATACTGTAAACAAACTGTATGGTCATACATGCTATCCATGTTATGTACTGTAAACAAACTGTACAGTCTCGCATCCTATCCACTTGTTATGTATAGTAACTGCTCTGTTTCTGTCATACTTCACCATTGTAACTTGATGACTGAGTTAAATTATTAACAGTAACATAAGAACTGCTCTGTTTCTGTCATACTTCACCATTGTAACTTGATGACTGAGTTAAACTATTAACAGTAACATAAGAACTGCTCTGTTTCTGTCATACTTCACCATTGTAACTTGATGACTGAGTTAAACTAACAGTAACATAAGAACTGCTCTGTTTCTGTCATACTTCACCATT